CTTACGATGACGTGTGGGTGTGGTAGGTTGGATGAATGTATTTGGAGCCTCAAAGCGAAACGTCAAGAAATGTCAGAGGTAGATTAGCGTAACGAACGTTGGTCAGGAATAGAATCAGAAGAAGAAGAATCAGAAGAAGGATGAGGAGGAGGAGAAGAAAGAGGAGGAGTAGCATAAAGGAAGTAAAATGACGAAATAAGAAGCTAAAAGAAAGAAAGAAAGAAAGAAAGAAAGAAAGAATGCATGAAAAAGAAAAAGGACGAGGAAAGACAGAATACGCAAAGAGTGGAAAACAAAAATAAATTGAATGAGAAAAGAGAGAAGAAGAGAAAAAGGGAAAAGCAGTGAAAGAAAGAAAGAAAGAAAGAAAGAAAGAAAGAAAGAAAGAAAGAAAGAGATAAGACAAAAACGACAGTCAAACAAAAGCGAGAAAGACGGAATGAGAAAAGAATAGAAAAAAGGGAAGGCAAAAGAAAGAACGGAAGAAAGAAAATTATCGAAAAAGTGATAAAAAAGGAATAAACAAAGAAAGAAAGATAGAAAGAAAAAATGAAAAATAAAGAAAAGAAAATAGATGAAATAAGATGAGAGGAAAAAGGGAGAAGGGGGTAAAGGAGGAAACAGAAAGAATGAAAGGATTATAGAAAGACGGACAGCAAGAAAGAAAGAAAGAAAGAAAGAAAGAAAGAAAGAAAGAAAGAAAGAAAGAAAAGAACGGCAAAAGGGAGAAACAAAAAAAGAAAAAATATGAAATCAGAAAGTAAAAAAAGAAAAAAAAATGACGGTATTAGAAAAGAGAAGAAAAATTGAAAAGCAAAGAAAGATGAAATAAGAAAAAGTGCTTAAAACTGAGATGAAAGAAAATATTTCTGGATAAGTATGTGTTGATGTTTTCTAATCTACGTCGGTTTCCAAGCAAATACACTTGAGGTGGCTAATAGGAAGAACAGAAGATTTGCTCAAAGAGATCGTTTTCTACGATTACATCGACAAGAAAGTCGACAAAGTATAACGAACATCGACTGAAAATCCAGAAACACTCAATTTTCACGAGGGAAGTGAAACGTTTTTGTCATACAATTTGCATCCAACTCCAGTATTCAGAGTTATTGAATATTCTTTCTATTTATATTTTACACAGGCTTACCGACAATCTTTACCTAATTTTTAAATGAAACTAAAGGTGAAATATGTAAGCCCATTGATAAGACGATAACTTAATAAGGGAAAAGTATTAATTTTAAACGATAAATATTTACTTTTAATATAACCTTCTTTCTTGTTAATGCACTTAATCCAATGCTACTTCATCGATCACGCAGACAAAATATAATGCAATGAAAATATCAGATTCAAGCGATAAACTTATTAATTCAGTCTCTTATACATAATATCATTCTTCTTTCTCTATCAGGACGTTGGGGATTATATTTCTCCACAACTTCCATTTTTATTGTCGCTCTAAATAATTCTTGTTTCCTTTATCTCCCCTCTTTTATATGGAGGCTGAGCATGACGCCAAACTCGTTCCAAAATGTCTAAAATGTCTGCTGTTTTATCAGACCGATGATTAAAAATGTTTCAGCGTGGACCATACTTCTTCGAACCTCATGAACTGCCACTACATGATCACAAACAAAGAGCTCTGCCAGATTACGGAAAACCACATAACATGAGGCCTTTCAACATTACAAAAAGACAACATATAACTTGTAGAGGGAATAATCACCTAATCAAGATGGTGACCTGCCACACTAAAAAAGAAAGAAAGAAAAAAGAGCTACTGGACTTTAGAAACCTATTTACCTGGCAAATCGAAAGCAGCACTGGCTATTCAGTCAATGAATATCGACTGTTTCCTTATAAGGAAACGGATAATATTGCCAAAACCATTAGAGATGAATAGAACAGATATTACATTTTTAACCCAGTCGAGTGACTTGTGAGCAAAGAAAAGCCTAACTCGAGTAGCACTGTCTATTCGGTCAATGAATATTGAATATTTCCATATAAGGAAATATAACCATTGCCATTAGAGATGAGGAGAACACATAGTATTTACTCGTCCTTTCAATGTGACACAATATGGCACAAAGGCAGTTTAAACTGGGGAGCCAAAGCGCGTTCACATGGGTCAAGTCCAGGATTTTTAGTGCAAATGAAGGAGGTTGTGCCGCAGAGTTGGAATCTCCGGAACCAGTCATCCTACTTTTATTTATTGTGTTCTTTTCAAGTACAGAAACACAATTGGAAATAAAATGTTGTTTATCCTCCCGAGGGAAGATACTTCACTATGATCCTTGTCCAATGGCGAGGGACGAAAAAAAAACACTGGCTGCTCGGCAATGAATGCGAATATTTAGTTATTATAAGGAAACAGATATTGTTACCATTGCCATTGACTTGAAGATTATCGTCCTTTTATCGATTAACACAGACTTTTCTTCCTACTTCTCTTACATTCAGTATGCTTTATGAGTGTTAAATTTTCCAAGTATTCTTTCCTCATTATATATAGTCCTGGGTATGGTAATAAACTACATCCAGCAGCAAGGGCTCTGATCGGAAGATTGCAAATTTTTAGCAGTGTCGAACCACCTCTTAATTACTGTTGTTCCCAGGTCCATACTAATTCGGGGTGGTAGCACCTGTTAGGGTCCCAGCTATGGGTAAATAGTGAACTCGAACTAAAATCAACAGTACATTTTTATAATAAAAGAACCAAAAATACATTTTATAGAAAAATGACGATCAATTCAGCACTCAAAAATATAAAAAAAATACATTTTTATAATAAAATTACTAAGAATAAATTTTATGATCTATAAACTACATGTCAAAAACACATACCTTTACACTGAAAGTATAAAATTTTGTACAAAATATCTAAATTGAAAGCATAAAATTACGTAAAAATATTTACATTTCGGCATTAAATAACCCATAGAGATGTTGATATGTCACAAAACAAAACCAACCAACGATACCTATTTATAGGAAAATTAGCAAAAATACATATTTAAAGCAAAATTACAAACAATATATTTTATTTACAGATGAAAGCATACAACAGCGCTCTCAAAATATATTTAGTTGATGCCATAAAATTGTGTTCAAAATATGTAGATTTCGGCATGAAAGTGTGATGATATACCGTTAAACAAAACCAACCAGTCGTCATTATGTGATACTATTTGTTGTTGAAGCGGGTAAAACGGAAGAAAGTTTTGTTAAGAAAGTGTTATGTACTAAGAGATATTGAAACGAGAAGGGTTAATACCGAAAACCCGTGGGAAGAATTGAGGATTTAATTCACACATAAACGACTTGAATAGTATGTCGAACAGTTTGAACAATGGAAAAATGACCCAGACAGCTGAAAATGCAAACTGTAAAGAGAAAATTTAATTTTTCGTAAACATCCTCTGGTTTGATTCCTCTGGTCGAAAGTTGAATTGAAATACCAAGAGGGGGTGGATAAGCCACCCACGCTCACTGAGGAGATTAGTGAAATGTAATAATAATATGAGAGAGTGGAAGAAGGGAATATCCCAGAATTATCGAATTCTCTTACTTCGTTAGTTTGAGCGAATGTCCATAAATACGAATGCGCGAAGCGAATTAGGCAGAAGAGAGAAGAGAGGCAGTCTAGTGACGGAAACGAGACCAGTGACAAGAGAGAGGTCTACCTGATTATCTGCCGACGGAAGCTTCCGACTTCAGCCTTATGCCAAACTTTACCAACAGCAAAACAGATTTTACCAAGTCAAAAACGACAACATCATTTCCGATTTAGATGCTGTGTAGGCTGATAATTAATTGCATGAGAACTCTGATATAAACTAATTATTGTACAGAGGACAGCATTTACTCTTGTTTAATTTATTCGAGTGTTATTTTTTTCCTGTACGTCTTCGCCCTGCTTGGACCCGCCCAACACGAAGATAGATGCTACGATTCTTTCGTGACCTCCTTATGATCAAACTTAAATCACAACGTGGGACAGGGCAGATCTGTGATGGAATCGATCTTCATCGTTCAATCGTTGTGTTGGATGTCTTGGAAGATGAGGAGGGTGTTCTACGATTACATGTCCCCAAATGTGTTCTTATTTTCATTAATCTTTTTTATTTCTCACATATATTGTCCATTATATTCTCAGCATTTGTCTGTAGAATCATATTTGTTTCTCCAAGTCTCTTCTTCTGTGAGGAGATTGTCCAACATTCACTGTTATATTTTTATTTATTTTTTACTAATGCTCATCGAATACAATACCCAGGAGTCACTCAAGGCAGAGGCTTACTGAATTAGGTTGTTGCATGAGAATAAGATGTAGAGGTAAGAAGAACTGTTTATGAGACTAGATTTGAAGTGGTCAAGAGTGTAGTGATCGGGAGTCGGGAGTCGACTCCCCAAAAGATATGTTCTTTGGAAAAAAACTTTCCGAGTGGAACGTTCTTCTTACTAATGGAATATAAAGAAAATGTCAGTAAAGTACATGGTCGTGTGGGCCTCTATATGTTAGAATTGGTGAAACTAAGAAATGTTACTCGTCAGGGCATTTACGGTTAGCAGGAAAAAAGGTTTTGGGGCGGAAAGTGATACATCACCCACAAGGCCTCGTAGACGTTTTGGAATATCAAGCCTGGAAAATGAGTAGTGCGAAGCTCTAGCCCACATATGACAGCATTTTTGTAAAATGTTAGTTTATTTTGTTTGTTTAACGACATAACAACATTTATATGGCTTATTTAATGCCAAAATCTAAATATTTTGTACGCCATTTTATTTTATTTTATTATTTTTTGAGATAATAATGGTTTAGTGATATAAGTCTTACTAATTAACCCATAGCTTGGAGGAGAAGAGGTGGATTCCTACCCTCCACAAGGGTATTTGCTCGTAAGTTGGATATGACGAACCCAACCGGGATTGGAACTCGACTATCCGATTAAAAATTCCGAGCCATTATTCATTAAACTACCGGCACGTCTATGCTTACAGCACCTAGTATTTCCAAATGGTCACCGATCTAGTTACTGACCAGGCTCGACGTTGCTTAACTTCGGTGATCGTAGGGGGAGCCGCTGCTTCAATGTGATATTTACCTAATCCGGTTCTTGTAAGGATAGATCACTACTTATTGGAACGGCACAGGGAACTGACCATTTTGCCAGCTCCTTTAGCGACGGTTCGTATATATGAGTTCCACATGAAGTCTGGGGTGAACTTCAATCCCAATAGGCATTCAAGACAAGCAGCCTCTGAAAGAACAGCCATTCATTATGATAGGATCATATAAGAGTTTAGATATTGCATAGCAGTTTATTTCTCTTTGCTTTCTTTCTAAGCGCATTTTCCAATCCTTTGATACTTTGCTTAATTTCTAAGAAGCATCTTTCGTTATTCCTATGCACCTTCGCATTTCTTTATCAAATTTTCCGTAGTCTGTAACTATACTACCCAAATAGTTAAAATTTCGCACTTCTGTTAATTGGGTGGTCGCTTTTGCTGAGAATTTTGCAGTCCCTCTTGGAGTTAATTGTTAGTCCCTTTCATATCAAGTAATCTGTTTGTATCTTTTGTAGGCCAGTGTTGTATGGAATGATTTCTGAACTAATCTATATCTATAATTCTCAATTGTGTGCATGTGTGTATGTGTGTGTGTGTGCAATCAGATGCTGTTTATGCGTTTCCATAGTTTTCATCCGATTTCGATGAATATTTTTTGGTCTGATAGATAATCTTCTGTGCCGGTTTTGAGTCCAAATTGTTGGCGACAATGGCTCTCCACTACTTCCTGTCCATTATAACTCTCAGCAACGTTTTACTCTTTACTATCTGTTCTTGGATGTATATCTTTCATAAAAACTTTAATAAAAATAAACACATTAAATTATTACAATAGTATCATCTTCTTATATCTATAATTCTCAAAATGTGTGTATGTATGTATATATGCGTGTGTGATCGGATGTTGTTTATACGTTCCCACAGTTTTCATCCGATTTCGATGAATTATTTTTTTTGTTTGATAGATAATTCTTCAGTGCGAGTTTTCAGTTCAAATTACGTATTTCTCTTCTCTTGGCTGGCCAATCTCCCCAAGTGAGGTTACTTTTTTCCGTTGCATAAAGCCTACTCCTACAGTTTTAAAGCGTTAGTTTCATTGTCGTTTATAGCTGTTCGCAATTAAAATTGGTTTTATTGTCCTGCCAGTTTTTGTATTGCATTCACCATAAGTAATAAGTAATCTTGCATTTTTATTACTCAACATTTATTTTTCCGACCTTTCCAAAAGTTATTTGAGCTTAATGATTCCTGTAGCTTTATAGCATTCCATTTGACAATTCATACTTGCCTAAGACATGCCACTAAAGAAAAAAAACTTGCCTAGGTCATAAAACCGCTGTCGTCAGGTCTGCCATGCGAATAAGAGATGAATCATCTTCAGAAGTTTTGATTTGCCTGTCACAAAATGCCTTTCGGAATGCTTCAATCAGAGCCACTGAACCCGAAGATCAACGTAGCCATCGGCTTTCTAGGGGAGCATACCTGACCGCTTCTACGGGCGAGGCTGAAACGGCTGATCAAAGGACTCAACGACTGAGGAGAAACGTCTCTTCAACTGCTGCTGTGCGTAACGCTGAGATAAGATTGAAAACGCAAAAACGGCCCTCTTCAGGACCAACCTCATATTCAAATTGTTAGCCCCTCTCCATTTGGGGATGTGCCTCAGTTGCACCTAATTGTTGTTACTAATATTGATTTTTGGGTGGGCTGACTTTAAACTTAAACTGCTCCAACTGAACGGTAAAAATCCCAGTAATGAAAGACCCGGTTGAAGACAGGTTATACTGCTAGTAACAGAATAACATGGGTTAATACTAGCAAGACAGCGTCCTAAAATTCAGAAAATCCCGACCTCTACGACTGATGACCACTGCAATCTTAAGCTCTCTATGTCTAGCCTTAACCGTTATCTTTCCTAAACTGCGACTTACGCTTTTCAGAAGGTGTCCTATAATTTTTGCCTTGTACCAAACAAAGATAAACTTGCTAAATGACGTCTCCATCCATTTTTTCCCGCGTTTTTCTTTTCGTTTTCCTCTCGTTTTTCTTACTTACTTCTCTACTGCGCAGGGTGTAAGCAAATATGGCATCACAGATTCATGTTTCTTGAGAAACAAAATGGATTGGTTGGCCGTTGCTTTCTCCACGGTTTGGCATTCAGAATTTTTGCTTTTCTTACACTAGTTGCTAACTAAGGTTAAGGAGTTCAGTCTACCCTACTATTTAACCTGTAGGTGGAGAGACAATTTTACGCAGTTGTAAGATGTGGTGATTAAAACACAAAGTCACTCTAAGTCTTAAGCGAATGAAGGATGCATTTGAGAAGAACAACAGGCAACAGACGTTAATGTCTAAATATTTAACAGACTTAATGAAAAGAGACATAATAATCAAAAAACAGAAATCAGGATAGAAAAAAAAGGTTGCAAATACGGTGTGTATTCGCGGATTAAATTACGAAGATAAATGTCCAGTTAAAGAAAGATTGTTCTTATGTGGCGTCGTTTAGAACTGAGAGGCTAGACAAAGAAATATATCTGCAAGGAAGATAACGTTAAAGGTAGTAGAAGTAGATTCACTTGTGTGTCTTCCAGGAGTTTTTACTGAAAAAGACGTTTTTATTTTTTTTGTTTCAATCATCATGAGAGCTGTTTCAATTTGAAGACACCTTGCAAAATCAGTGTGTTTTCTAGTTTTCAGCAACTTTGTAAATAGCACGAAAGTGCTACAGGTCTTCCAAACACTTTAAAGTTTTTGTTAAATAAGACGCAGTATGCTCGAACTGTGCACAGGTGTTCAAATTGCTCGCACACGGCGCGCGCTGATCGGTTGCTAATCAGCCAATCCCCGAGCTGATGACAAACCGTCACCAAACTGCAGATATTCACTACAATAAGGGAAGAGACAGCCTTTCCCACGAGCATAGAACAAAAGGGAACAGAACTGGCTCACCCGAAATTCGAACTCAACTCACCCATTTCATTTTCTGTTATCAATTACACAATAACATCCTTCTCAGTTTCCAATCCTATTGTCTAGTGAAATGAATAGGTAGGTACCTGACACACAGAGGTATATATATATATATATATATATATATATATATATATATATATATATATATGTGTGTGTGTGTGTGTGTGTCTGTGTGTGCGTGTGTGTGTATGTGTGTGTGTGCGCGTAGGTGCGTGTGTATGCATGAGAGAGAATGCGTATGTGCGTGTGTGTAGGTAAGGAACGATTCGAAAGGAAAGCTTCCTATGCGTTTTCATGGAAACTACCGCTCGATAGAGGGAGCACAACAACACCATTGGATAAACAGAGCAAGTTTTCACGTACAATTCACTAGTTTTCCCATCGTCGAACTTCATTCGCTTTATAGTTTCGCCAGGAAAAGAAGCTGGTGTACAACGCTTAAAAAGTGTCTTGTCATACTCATCATTGTCACCACCGTTTGAAACGCATTGCTTATCTATGCTGATATCCATTGTTTGATCTCTATAAATATCCAGTAAGCATCTAAAAATTAATAGATGCATATTTTTTTTCTTTTTTACGGAGATGAATTCAATAAGACACCTCTGCTAAGTATGTCATCTTGTGAAACTCTTAAGCTTTTAAGCACTTGGTAAACTTTCTACAATGTAAACATTTATGTCAGATCGCCAAACACTATACTAGAGTTTTCTTGATGAAACAAATCTGATGATTCAGTATCCTTGCAGCCCCTAGGAACAGATATCAGACCCCTAGGAGGTCCGAGCACCCCTGGTTAAGAACCCCTGCTATAGAGGAATATTTCCTGGTTTCAGGTTATATTGGAACTTGTCTTTGTAGCTTAGCCATGGTCTTTATATATTTCTTTTTTTATAGTTGGCTGCACATGAGGACTTTTTTTGCAAATCTATTGTCACTCATTGTGATGATATAAACGGGTTCCCGTCATTGGGATTACATAGAAAAGGATTCAATACAACCAATTTTGTATTCTGACAATAAATCAATATTCAAAATTCTATCGTGTAAGATATATTTAAGAATGATCCGAATATGTCGCTTTTGAAAGACATCAGACTGGTTAATATTTGATGAAAGGGAAAATGATTTCACTTTGTAGATGACAATCGAAGGGGCTACAACGATATTATTTTTTTTTGTTTGTTTTTGATGTTATTTCCCATTCATGCCAAAGATAATTTAAGAAGTTTACCGAAAACATCTGTTATTTTGACGGCTATATGGTTGATTCTTTCATCATCAAGAGAAGCACTTTAATGCACTTTGTTCTCATGTTATGTGAAGCCCTTTTATACCTCTCTATATCTTTATATATATATATATATATATATATATATATATATATATATATATATATGTGTGTGTGTGTGTGTGTGTGTGTGTGATATCCGGCGAGACTGTGTTTGTGTGCGAATTAGAAACCAGCTTCTATTTATCTACGCACACGGCATTCATTAGAGACACTTCTCTCCCAAGTGAGAATTTATTCCAACACTTCTTTGTAAAACTCATCAAACATCTGCCAAAATAATTTTTCCATCTCCTTCTTCCCATCACCGAACACTATTCTCTGATGACTGTAGATGCCTCTTAGCATCTCACCTTACCACTTCGTACAGGTTCTCTGTCAGAAATGACCAAGCATCATTTTTTTAAGGACACTCAAAGTCGTTTCGAGCTCTTTTTAGCATGTCAATTGAACAACTATGTTTATAAATTTATCTTCGATTTGTACGCTGGTGTACAAAATATCTGAGTAAAATGTTCTGTCTTTCTGTCTCCAGGTCTAAAGCTTTTAGATAGATGTATACAACTATTTCTTATTTTTATATGTACGTACTTGAAATATGCTATCTATCTCAGTCTGTTCCTATCTATCTATCTATCTATCTATCTATCTATCTATCTATCTATCTAAACGTGGTATATTTCAAAATTAATCTTTGAAGGTAGATTCTGGCTATTCGCAAAATACAGTTGGGTTTGCCGTCTTGGCTCCAATAGTG